TTTTTTTTTTTTTTTTTTTTCTCCTGGGGCTCAAATTTCAAAACCGACCTGGCAGCAGTGCATAGTAAGCAAGCATTGCTAAAAACACTATACTCTTCTTCAGTGCTGTCTTACTCACCAGAAACACAGAAGAACATTTCACTTCTCAATTTGCAATGGATAATTTAGCAGAGTAATTTCCTTACATGTGTAGCAGTACAAAGATGATGCAGGAAAAGATTGCAGATAGATTTTTTTCTTATTTCAGGGTATAGTTCAATGCAGGGTTTGTGTATCTTGGGCTTGAATGGCACATCTTTTATGTATGTTACTGTTTGAGTGTGCTGTGAGAAAATTCTCATTTATGGTTGCAGTTCTTTATTTAGTTTTGGTTTTAACTGAATTTGGTGTTTGTGGGTGGGTACGTGAGACAGAGCCTTAGGCTTGTACATCATTTTTAGTGAAACTAATCCTGAAGAGGTAGACATTTAGAAGAAAAATGTATTTTAAAGAATGAGAAAATTTCAGGCAGAGTGCTGCAATAGTTAATGGGTAGGCAATTATTTTGATGATTTACAGCCTTTTGTTGAAAGACCATGGAACCAGTAATTGTTGCAATAAACATTTTTGCACATTTAATTTTTCTGCAAAAATATGTAACACGAAAATTACCCGGTTTGCAGTAATTTGCATATTTAAATATGCAAATCAGGCACAACACATTTGGGGATTAGCGGATTTTCAGTAGCGAGATGTATGACCTGTGGAGAAGAATAGGGGAGCTGGAAGTTGCTCAAAAAAAAAAAAAAAAAAAAATTGAATTGTTGTCCTGGTGCGAGACTTGTGATAACAGACAGACACTTCTTGTATGGACTTGCTGCTTAGTGAGTGACCCTTTTGATGCTGTTTGTGTCGTAATGGTTAGGTGAGAGTAATGAATTTGTGCTCAGACGAGACACTTGGTATTGAATTTTTACACGCGGTGGCGCGGTGTCTCATACCAATAACGCTTCTCCCGGTGGCCCAATATATTCCTGTGCGTGCAGGGCTTGAGCCGTGTTATTGATGGTGTCAAAAGCAAATTCAGTGTTACCTCTCTGCCATGGCTCTCCTGTTTGACTCCTGCTGGCATGCAGCTATGGAGATTTTCGTGCGGTGTTGTCCACTGAGAAATTGAGTGGTGTTGCATTCGGGCTTGGGAAGTGTGGAAACAGCAATACCGTATCTTCATATGATGTGGTGTCAGCCTTTTCTTCTGAAGTACTCCTTTGCTTCTGACTCTGAGTAGGCAGAGCATGTTGGGGGGCTCCAGAAGACAGCTTCTATCCCTGGAAATGACTTACGGAAGTCAGAACATACCCAACATTTTAGGAAAACAATTTGCAGTATTAAAATACTGTGTTTTATGGAAGTAGAAGGTTGTTTTAGTTCCTCTGGGAGGGGAAAAGAATTATTGCCTGGGTCCTTTAACGCCGTTTGAGAGCCACATAAATGTTTTCACAGTGACTTAGAACTGAATTAAAGCCAGAGCAAGAATGTTTTTGTACAGTAATGGATACTCCATGCCAGAAAGTTGATTAATACTGCAGCTCTTCCCAAACATGATCTATGTAACAACATGAAGTTTGCCCTGGAAGAGCTGGCTCGGGTTCACAATATTGGCAAGGTTCCCTTTTCTCCTCTAAAAACAAAACTTCTCCCTTTCACCTCTATCTCCCCTCATTCTTCTGGATGGTTTTATGAATGCGCAATCACTTGCTTTATGCCGCGCAAGCTCTGCAACATGCAGCACATGTGTATGTGTATGGTCCGTGCCTTCATCTCCCAGCCACTGGCACACAGCAAAAGGCTTCAGTACTCTGCAGGCCATATTAAACCTCCCCAGTTATCTCAAGTATATAGCATATCAGGTGCAGGAGCAACCTCCAGGAGGGCTTGGGAAACAAAGCTTTGTCCATGGAGTCAATAGCTGACTGAACCCAGTCCAGTAATTCTGCTGCCTCCACAGTGGAAGCCTGATTATTGTACATATTATAAATTAGCTTCTGAATGGCTGTCTGGCTGTATCCTGTGAAGTGTTTGTATGCAAATTAATTTGGAGGAATACTTCCGAAAATTGCTGAAAACACATTATGTTTATCGCCCACTGCAGTCTCAATTCCTGTAGTAAATGCTTAGTTAATCTGTAGTAATTGAGCACATCTGTGGCTTTACTAGACCAAAAATTTTTTTAGACATTATTATAGCTGCACCTAATACAGGCACAATTTGAGCAGTTTGTATTGGTTTGTGTAAGGATTCTTTGTCACAGTCTCAAATGAGATACCCCAAAGTCCCAGTACGGGATCCTGGGTGAATATTGGTGCCCAGAGTCCAGTTCCCCTGATGCAGGGAGCGCTGTGATGCATCTGTGGGGATCACGCCTGCCATAAGGTTTTGCTCTGCTGCCATAAATTATATCAGTGGTTTAAAAACCCCCAGTGCTTGTGAGTTTTGAATGTAGTGGTTGCGTTTCTTTGCATTTGATCATCACTGCTAACCAAAAGACCCACAAGTATTTCACTGTGGGACTCTTATTGTTTCAGATAATAATAATAATAGCTTTGGAGGACACAGCATTTTGAGAATAAGCATTCTATTGGATACGAGGATAATGATACCCATTTATTCTGTCTGGAGTGTCTGAAAACTAAAAATTTACTTACACTTTTAATTTTTTGTTAGTAGTGCTTCTTACCTTTAAGAAGAAGCTGTACTGGAAATACAGTGTTGGTTAAGGTAGCATAAAATAATCATAATTAAAAACTACATTTCTGCTTCAGGAGTGCAAGTTTCACTACTAGTGTAGGTTGGACTTGGTTTTTTGTCATTTTACCTTTTAATGAAATTACTGCTTCAAGGGTGAAACCTTTATTGACTACTCTTCAGCAAGGAACTAAAGTGACTGGGAACAGAACATTGGATATTGGAATGTCAGATTTAGAATTTCTAAGACAGGAGATTGTCCTGGAACACGTCTGGGGTTCGTAAAGCACAACCTACACCTTTCCTGATTTTCTGAGTGCATCACAAATATTTAAGAGCTGGCAGACGTTAAGGAGAATGCAATTTGCTTCGTAAGAAGACACAAAAGAATTAGTTAATCATTTGTTTAATTAGATTTGGTCTCAGTAATATTTAATGCAGAGTTTTTGGGGGTTATTGTTTTCTTTCCTTTGAGAAGTGAGTGTTGCTGGCTTATTATCAGTTACTCTTCAAAAATGAGATTTTTGGGGGTGGGGGGGTTTAGCCTTTTTTTGGTGTTACATTTTTTCTTTGAGCCATCTCACAAGCTTTTGGGGCCAGAGTTTAATCCTGTATTGTACTAAATAAATTTATTGTCTAAATAACTTGCTTCAACATTTTTAGTGAGATGGGAGGAAAATCATAGTCTCAGGGATTCCCCCCCTCCCCCCTGCAAATGCTTGGCTTGCGATAGCATTTTGTAATTAATCAAGCTAACATATTGATATTTGTTCACATACTGTGTTTGTGAATTTTTCAATACTTACTACTGCGGGAAGGTTTTGTAGCTGGATATAACGGCAATCTAGGTGTTGGAAGAAACAAATACTGATTTTTATAGAAACTGATACCATCTACTGTTTAACTATAAGACAGCGTGGCAAAAACTGTTTTGCATCTACATATCCCTTTGTTGTGTTTTCAGACTTAAGGTTTTTAAGCTTTTCCTGTGAGACTGAACATTTTTTTCCTCCTGTTTCTCTCTTCCCCTTTTCAAGAATCTTACAAATTAAGACAAAAGATAATTACTCAGAGGGTAAAACTGGCAGGGTTCCCACGACACTTAAATTTAATGAGCTGTTGCATATAAAATATACCTTGTCTCATGTTTGCTTCTTTTTTTTTCTTTTTTTTTTTCAAATTTTTTATTTGGTGAACCAGAGAAGAACACAATTTGGCTTTTTGGCTGTGTGTTCTATTTTAGTAATCTTAGATTTTTAAAGTGGCAGCTGATTACAGAAAATTAATCTCTGATTTGAATGTTTCCGTAGGAGCAGATCGGTATTTACAACTTGTTCCCTTCAAAGGAAGGTGTCACTCTAAATGATAAAATACATATTAACAAAGCAGCCATTGGTTGTTTGTGCTATGTCTTACTAAAAATAAATAGTTGTGCTTTGTGCATCTGTAGCGCCTTCCATCTGATGTGAGAATTCCTTACAAAGGAGGATGAATATATTGTCATGAACTTCCTGAGAGGGGTTGGCAATTATTATCAGTTCCACCACTGGAAATCAGATACAAAGGGTTAGGTGATTTTCACAGACATCACTGAGAAATCCTTGGCTGGCTGGGCAGCACCAGTTGCTCCTGAGCTCAGGAGCGACAGAACCATGGGGAAATTTGTGGTGACTCCACTGCTGACAGCTTTTCTCTCATTCTTACTCCATTTATGCAAGTGGGAAGGAAGAGAGGAGGAAAAGCAATTGCAGTTTGTTTTTTTTTAAGTAACCTGCTTCAACACTTATGACTGACTGAATAGGATAAGGGAACTGAAAATATGGTAAGTGACGTGAAAATCGAATTTGCCAATAGTTTGCTGGCGTTCCAGCTGTGGGAATGTTTGGAAGTAGAGTCTGCTCAAAAGCAGCTTAGCTGCCCCTCTTCAGTAGGAGATCCCTGTCCAGTGGGATTGTTGGGTTTTTATTATTTTTTTATTACTTACTGCTGCTCCTACCTTTAATACACTACATGTGTAGGGACAGCTAAACTTCACAAATTAGATAAGAAGGTATGTGTTGCAGGAATATCATCTTTAGTGACTAAAAAAGGCTTTCATTTCACAAGAAAACAGTAACTTCATGTATTTAGTTACTATTCCCAAACAGATGGTGTATCTTTTGTGTAATAAATAAGATTTTCACATAGTTGTGCTATTAAGCATTTATGAAGTTTCTTGTTTGCATCCTTTCCTAAACCATGTCGAAGAAAGACAGAGGTAGAAATCAAGAGTAAAAGGCAGGAGGGCATTTGTCATTGTGGATGTTGGATCATAAGCATTGCGAACCTCTGTCAAGTGCTCACTAAAGAGGGGACATCACTGACATGAATTCAGCACACTTTCAATTAACAAGCAGAGAAATGTGATGTGATTTGTTGTTTGTTTGTTTTAGCTTCAGCTTTTCATGTTCCCTGACAACACAAGAGCAGTGACTATTCTTAAATAAATTCAGCAGAGAGACAGGAACAAAACTTGCTTATATAAATTCACATAATACTTATTGTACAAAAAATAAAGGTGTCTGTTCCACACTTTCTTATCCCTTCATTTAAAAGTTACGGTGCTCAGCATAGGTCCCAGTGTTACTTCATGTCACATGTTCCAGATCGGTTTTAATATTTTCCTTTCTTTGCAGAAGTACCTTTTTCTATTTGCAGCTTGTCTGCTATAGGCAAACTGCTGTCAGTTTGATTCAGCAGTTTGGGTATTGACGAAAACAAAACATGCTTTTTCATGGAACGTTTCCTTTCTTCTACATTGGTATAAAAATAAATCTTTTTTCTCTTTAGGTTATGTTTAGAATTCCCTCACTGCGAGAGCAAAAAAAGATAATTAAAACTGTCATAAGTAAAAATCAAACCCAGAATTCTAAATCTAGGTCAGTCAAAACAGTAATATACCTTGTATGTTGTAATTTGGCTATTGAAGATAATGTGTGCTATCAAGCAGAGGAAATACTTTGGTAAATCTGTTCATCTAAAGAAATATGCAAAATAGTGCTATTTCTGTATTGATTTAGCTTTGGATGTAAGAAGGCATTCACTAAATAACCAACACTGAGTGCAGACAAAATTGTGATGTTCTGAATGAAGTGTTTGGTCTGGCATACTTTTCCTTTTCTTGTTTTTCCCTTAATAACCTGATTTTCTCTCTTCTCAGTTTTCAATGGGTCCAGCAAATCATCGAAGGAGAAAGAACCTGCTCAGAAACACAAAAGCAAAGAGGCCACCCCAGGGAAGGAGAGGAACAGCGAACATAAGGCTGAGAGTCGAAAAGACCAGGCTGCTGCTAATCACCACGCTACTACAAACACTGGCTCCTCTACGAAAGGGCTCACGGCTAACAACCACCACACTCTTCACAGATCGGCTCAGGACTTAAGGAAACAGGTAATAATAAGTTGTACTCTACTGTGGACACATGGGAAACAAAAGCTTTTAAGGTTCTAAGCTGCTTTTTCCACTGTTTGGTGTACATTGAACGTGGCAAACCTTAAAAGCTTGCTCTGAAACAGCAGGGAGTTAATTTTCAGTGATTAAAAAAAAAAAAGGAAAAAAGAAAAATATATACCTGGGAAGTCAGTATGATAAAGTAAGTGTGCTTTACAACCCTGTCTTTTAATTATCTGGTATATTCATATGAAAGAGTAAAGTTCCCACTGATGTTTATGAAACCTTTCTGACTGGCACTCTGTGCTGACAGTGCCAATGCTGGCAGCACGTGGAAGAAGGAGCTGGTCTCTGTGATTTATCTCAGGGGCTCACTGGTGCTCTGGAGAACCTGACATACTCCTCATGTGCCTTGGTTTGCACATGGGCAACACAAACCTGAGAGTCTGGGACAAATGTTTCGCCTGATGCATAAAGATGCTCCAAAATACTGTCTCCTTCACAATGGAGGTACCTGATGGGAGACATTTTTATAGTTCCATGTTACTTGGTTGAAAGCTAGCAAAAAGATTCAGCAAGAGATTTGTTTCAACTTAATTTGAATTCTGGTGTGAAACTTCAGCAGACTGGTCTTTCAGTCCTTATTCAGGCTGGGGCTGGGTTAGCAGACCAGGGCAGTGCAGTACAGAAAGCTTGCTGAGTTCAGCCTTTTGGGAATTTTGGGTTTGGATTTTTTGTGGGATGGGGTGCTGTTGATTTGGTTGTTTTTTTCTTTGGTTTGTTTTTTTGTGGGGCTTTTTTCCGCCCTGTTTTTGTTTGTGGGGGTTTTTTTTTGTTGGTTGGTTGGTTGGTTGGAGTTTGGTTTTGTTTTTGTTTTTGTGTTTTCTGCTTGGTTCATTTGTTGCTTTGTTGTTGATTGGTTGGTTGTTTCACAGTGATGAATTCTCAACAGGCTGATTGGAGACAGTATTTACTTGCCAACACCTAAAGGTTTTTCTTCTAAGTAGGCTGACCTGGTTCTCAATGGAGCTGGAATTGCCATCTTGTAGAGGGCTATCAAGGCCTTTAAATGTTACCTCTGAATCACAGGCTTGGAAATTAAAAATAGGAAAAGAAAAAGCAGTGATGATCTTGCTGAGGAAATCTTTAATGCTGTGTGTTTCAGTGGTGGTTTAAGTTCTCCTGAAATGCCTCCACTGATTTTGTATTATCTTCTAAATCAGATTTGAGATCCTGAAGGCTATTCACAGTCTGTCTGTACCTCTGTAAGACTTCAGTTCTTTTTTCCACCATGGCAGTTTGCCTTTATCTAGGCATCAGTGTGAATGGCTGCCTTTTTGGATTTTTTTTTTGTGATTACCAGTATTTTATGATTCTTGCTGTGACATGCTCTGTCATGAGCTCATGGTGTTTAACAAGTTTCTCAAAACATAAGAATGCAGTTCTTAATTCTTTTAACCTATTGAAACAGTTGTGTGAAATGCTTACAAGTTGTATCATCAGAGTTGGATTGGTTAAAACTTTTGTGAAAGTCAACTGCTGCTACTTCTGAAGGTAGTTCTGAAAGGAAAAAGACAAGTGTAGAACAGTTTTGTCTGCAATCCAAGTGGTTTTGCTTCCTAGAGTATTAAGTGTTTTTGATTATGTGACACACACAATGGAGAAAAATTTAAAGCAATGCAGTACAACCAGCAGTCACACCACATGGACACATCAGCAAGGGTCTCCCCAGGCTTCAGAAAATGAGGGGTTTGAGTCAAGATGATGTGGATGTGGGTTTTCTTTTTTCTTTTTTTTCTTTTTTTCTTTTCTTCCTAAAAAATGGTTAGGCACCTACATTTTCTTCTGCAACGCCCACAGTGCCATAAGTATTTTCTTACACATTTTAATGAAAATGTGACTCTTAACTAATTAAAAGTGGATTATATGTTTTGCCTGACAGAAAGCATTAGTTCTGTACAAAACCGTAGACTTATCAGTTATGGGACATTGCTAAATTTCTTGCTGGTCCTGAGTCTTTGACTTTTTCAGTATTTAACAAAATGAGAATTTTTTCCCAGGGTGCCAGCCACATGTTCTTCCTCCTTCCACTATATTTTTGCTTCTTGATCACTGCATTTGCATGGTTTATTTATGTGTGGTTTTAAGTCTTAAAGAAAATAAAGGCAGAAACACTAGAAATTACCAGAGATTTTCTGTTGTCCTATCTGTTTCTGTTTTTCTGTCTTTCTTCTTCTGGTGTGTCCTTGCACTTGTCACAGGCTCCTTATCTCTTTTGCTTTCTCCTTTGCCATCTTCCAAAGCCTTCCTACTTTAAAGGGTTGTGAGCAGAGGAAATGTGGTTCAATGGGGCCCTCTCTTGGCCTAATATGGTAATTTACCTCTGCACAACTCCTACAAGTACAGAACTATTTTTATGAATGAATTGAAGATCAGTTGCATAACTTGGATTTGTTTGGCACTAAAACTGTTGTCAGTGTTGCTAATGTTGCTCTTATCACCGTGGTTGCTATCTAGGAGGTTATTTATTTTTTGTGTAGGGTTTTGGAGGCTGAATCCTAGGTGCTATGCAGAGGTGTGTACGTAGACAACAATCTAACAAACCCATTGCCGCAAGACTGTGCTTGCCACTTTTTTTTTTTTTTAATAAAGACAAAATTTAAAATCTTTCATACCATGTTTTACTGCAGGGCAAGTGTTCAGTTAAGGAGAGAAAAGAGTGGTCTGAAGACAATTATATGTCAGTGTCCTAAACTGAGAACATAGCTGAAAAGCAGAGATAAGATTATTTATATCCCTAGTTTCACCTTTGGCTCAAGACTTTCATGTAACGCTGATGTCAGTCACTTTATTCCTACTAGGTGCTCACCTAGTTGATGAATGAAAGGCTGTGGATGTTGTCCCTCTGGACTTCAATAAAGCCTTTGACACAACCTTCCACACAATTCTTTCAGAGAAACAGGCTGCTCATGGCTTGGATGGGTGTTAGCTAGGTTAAACACTGTCTGGATGGCTCATGGTGGTAAATGGAGTTACATCCATTTGTCAGCTGGTCACCCATGGTGTTCTCCAGGGCTCAGTACTGGGGCCAGTCCTGTTTAACATCTTCATCAGTGACCTGGGCAAGGGGATTGAGGACACCCTCAGTCAGTTCCACACACGACACGAAGCGGGCAGAAGCACTGATCTGCTGAGGCTAGAAAGGCTCTGCAAGGGATCTGGAGAGGCAGGAAAGCTGCCCAGCAGAAAAGAACCCGGGGGTGCTGGTCGACAGTGACTTAACAAGAGCCAGTCTGTGCCCAAGTGGCAAAAAGGCCAATGACATCCTGGCCTGTGTCAGGAACAGTGTGGGCAGCAGGAGCAGGGCAGTGATTGTCCCCCTGTACTCAGCACTGGTGAGGCCACACCTCACTGTGTTCAGTTCTGGGCCCCTCACCACAAGACACTGAGGTGCTGGAGAAGGTCCAGAGAAGGGCAGTGGAGGTGGGGAAGGGTCTGGGGCACAAGTCTGATGGGGAGCAGCTGAGGGAGCTGGGGGCGTTGAACCTCGAGAAAAAGAGGCTCAGGAAGCATCTTATTGCTCTACAACTGCCTGAAGGGAGGCTGTAGCCAGGTGGGGCTCAACCTCTTCCTCTGGATAACAAGAAATAGGACCAGAGAAAACTGCCTCAAGTTGCACCAGGCTAAGTTTAGATTGGGTATTAGAAAAGATTTCTTTGCTGAAAATGTGGGGTCAGGTACTAGAACGGCCTGCCCAGGGATGTGATTGAGTCACCATCCCTGGAGGTATCAAAGAGATCTGTTGGCATGACACTTACGGACATGATTTAGAGGTGGACTTGGCAGTGCTAGGTTAATGGTTGGACTCCATGGTAAGTTTGAATAAAAATTCAAAATACTGTGCTTACCATCTGGGATTGGAGGTTGCATCTTAAAGCTGATGGTGCTCATGACATGTTTTGCTTTGAATAGGAGAAGCTGTGAGGATATTGCCTTTTTCCATGAGCACTTTACTGTGTTCTGTTCTCAGCCCCTGTGCCACAAGCTCTTGCTGCAGAAATGCCTGGGTGGCTCTTCAGACTTCTGGTCACAACTTCCTCAGAAAAAGATCATCAGCAGGCTGGAGTGACAAGGTGCCTCCATGCAGCCTGACTGCTCACACTGAGGTTTTTTCTTGATTATACCTGGCAGCACAGTAATACAGCTATAGCCTCCTGAAACCTTCTGAAAACCTTCTGTAGAGGAGATTCCACAATGTCCATTGACAGCTTCTTCCAGTGTTTTCCTTTTCTACTAATGAGCAAGTTTTCCTGGTTGTATCTCAGATCATCGTAGACTTCTAAAGGGAATTTTTCCTCCTACTTTTCCCAGTGAACATGGAAAGAACATTTACTGTCTCTTTCCAGAAGAACTCCTTATGCATCAGAAGATTGTTACAGAGCTATCCCATAGTGATCTCTTTCACAGTAAGACCAGATCCCATGGCTTTTCATCAAGAGTCTTATTTTCCAAATACCTGAGCACTTTGTGTTTTTTTAGACTTGCTCCTCTATCAAAATTTTTCTCATAAAATTTTTCCTTAGGGAAAGTGTGTGCTCTTACCCTTTGTTTTTAACATCCTAATTAATAGGTCTCAGAAAGGGATTTGTGTGCTTTGTATTGCCATTGCTGCAGTCCCCAAATGTTATTCTTCCCCTGCATGTATATGATTTGTGCCTCCTAAATATAGCACTTCCTCTTAGTGTAGAAATGTTCTGAAATAGGTTCTTCAGAAGTGCCTTTGATTTTTATCTTGTCCTGTGAGTGATTACAGCCTCCTCCTTCCAGGTGTGTTTCACTGTCAGATTTTACAATCATGAAAAATACTTGGTAGAACCAAGGCAAAGCCAAGTACCTGCAGAAAGACACATGAAATGCCCTCCCAGAACAATAGTGAGCTATAACAATGAAAACTTTGAGGATGTCTTTATTTAGTCCCTTGTGAAGCCACTTGGGAGTAATAATGTCGAGATGTGTCTCAGGAGTTTGATGGAACGTCCCAGGGGACAGTGTCTGGTATCCTGATGAAGCAGAGGTGCTTCTTTACCTTCTCAGCCAGGTGTCTGTCATAAGATGACTAAATTTGTTTGATTTGCTATTTTGGCAAAACCCTGGGTGGATTTTGTTGTTTTTTTAATATTATTTTATAATCATTTGTGTGTTTTCAAATTAACTGTTTGATGATTTGTTGTACACTTATTTTAGGATTTGAAATTAGGTAGACTCTGTCTGCTCCTAGCTTATTTCCAGGTATCTTTTACCTGACTGAGGTTGCTATCCTAGCCTTTTTGCTGAAATGGATTATGTTCTGTATCCAATAAATATTCAGTCAGTGGCACTTCTGGTGAAGGTTAATGCAAAAGAAGCAGGAACACTTTAGTCAGGCTGTTTGTTATCCTTCCTTGTGTGGTGCTTTATCTCATCCATTGTTTGTTATCTTGTATTTTTAACGTATTTATATTATTTTTTTTCTAATTTAGTCTCTTGCTAACTGCAGTTTCTTTAGCTCCTTGGTCTTTTGGATTTTAATATGTGCTTTTTCTTTTCCTATATAGTTGTCCTTAGTCACATAATTGTGTTACCACTTTTTACTGTGATCATTTTCTAATTTTCCAGTCATTAGAGAACTTCATGAACAGCCATAATAGCCTGTGCTTTATGCCTTTCCTCTGAGAGGAAATTGCTTTGGTTTTGATTTTTTCAGGTAGATTTTTCTTCTGTTTTGTTTCTGGTTGGGTGGTTTTGTTGGCTTTTTGTTTGTTTGTTTGTTTTTTGTTGTTTTTTGAAGTCTGTTGTCCTTTCTCTACTGTCGTCACATCTTAGAAATGAAAACCCATTTTATGATCATTGTCACCCAAATTACCTTCCCCTCCCAGTTCTCAATCAATTCTTCTCTATTAGTCTAGGTGAAATCTGTAATCGATGTTCCTAGCTATTTATAAATCCAGGGATGTTCAGCGCTTGTTGTGACTGCTGCAAGAGGCAACGTCTCAGCAGCTCTCTACCCATGTTTGTTCTGCAGCATGAAAAAGTGCTGTGAAAGTTAAATCCAGGCCTTCAATTCAAGTATGGAGTACTGCTTAAATTTCAAGGGAAATGGGTAAATGCATTTCTGTTTGTAATTGTTTGCTTTCCATATGATACCTCATACATCTTTGAAAAGCTCAAGGTAAAAACTCATGTCATCAGTTAACTGGATTTTCCTTAAGTGTTTCTACCTTTCAAGCACAGGAAGGACAAGAATATGGATGTTTTTTAAAAGATCATTATTCCTGCTCCAGTTTCTGGAGTGCAGAGGAGAAAATGTCCATAAACGTGTGTGTGTGCAGAATCCTCAGGTTCCAATTCCCCTTCCACAAATCACTGCATGCAAGACCATAGCACAGCATTTTAAGCAGTCTCTATTTGATCCCTGTACCATCTTTATTATATAAGTGACTGCAGTTCTTGCATTTATTTGAGAGACGCTTCCATGCTTAATGATTTGGCAAGAATTTCAAAATCCCACAGGAGAAAGTGTTACAACTCTCCAGGAAATGGTGTTACTCACCTGAGTGCTGAGAAGGGGTGTGATTGTACTGTATGCTTTCACTTTGAGCTCTTTTAGCAATGTTTCTGACTTTTGGATGTGCTTTTCTGTGCTTACAGTCATTTAAGGAGGTGAGATGACAACGTATAAAGTTGTGTAAATGCTGAAATTTGTTTCAGTTTTGAACTTGAGCTTTGTTTTTTTAGTAGTGGGGTTTAGCTTTGGCAGTGCTGAGCTGTCTCAATTCCCTTTGTAGATGGGGGTTGCTTTGGGTCCTTAACACATCTTTCAGTTAAAATACAAATTCTAGTCTCATAACTGGGTTTAAATGTCGAACAGAAAGCAGCAGAGTCCAGCAATTCTAAGCTGCATTGACACAATATGATCTAATAGAATATGTGTCAGCAAAATTGCACATATACCAAACTTAAGAAAAAAATTACATTGGACTACGGTATGCATTTTTTAATTTCAAATTATCAACTTCAGCAACAACATGCTGCCCAAAATGTAATATGTATGACAGACTGGATCCTTCATGGCCATGCTGATCTGTTTGGTGCATAATGTGTGCCACATCTCTTTTTATATGTATGCATGGATAGAAGGTAAATTTATTTGAATCTCGGTGTGTTTTTTGCAAGTGTGCAGATTCCAGTTAGAGTAGATAATATATGCTGCCTATTTTGCCTGCTAAGAAGTAGTGAAATGTGTGTGTATGTAAAGGAGGGTTGGGTGGGGGGGAGAGAGAGAGTGTCTGGAAGGCCAGAAAAAGAGGTAATAAAGGTTTTAGTTTGTAAATCAGATAGTGTGTGTTTCTGGTAGACAAGGGAGGGGGTAGTGCAGGCAAGGGACCTCAATCTTCCTAATGCCAGAGGCTTTGTAACCTCTGAAGGCAAGACTGGGGGCTTTCTGGTAAGTCAAAAGAACTCCAAATTTTTATTTTATTTTATTATTAGAAATGCCTAGTCTCCTCTCTTGCCTGCGTGCAAACCATTATATGAAGAGTGTATGACGGAGCCAGGAGTCGGGACTGGAGACACTATGGCTGTCCAGCAAATGGGAAATCGGGACTGAGTGGTCACATTATTAATTTACTTTTCTGTTTTGTGTTTCCTTCCTTCTGCTCCTCGTACAACACTCCTGGCATTTCAGGTTTCTAAAGTCAACGGGGTCACTCGAATGTCATCTCCGAGTGCAAATGCAGCCAGTGCCAAAAAGATGAGAGAAGTCAGACCTTCACCGTCCAAAACTGTGAAGTACACTGCAACAGTGACAAAGGGAACTGTCACATACACCAAAGCCAAGAAAGAACTGGTCAAGGAAACCAAACTAAATCACCACAAACCCAGTTCACCTGTCAACCACACAATCTCAGGGAAAATAGAAAGTAGCAATGCAAAAACCCGCAAACAGGTGCTATCCCTTGGAGCATCCAAGTCTAACAATACCGCTGTTAATGGTGTAAAAGTCAATGGCAAGTTGAACCAAAAGACATGCACTAAGGAGGTGGGGAGACAGTTAAGGGAGGGGCTGCGCAATTCGAAGAGGAGGCTGGAAGAGACGAGTCACATAGACAAAATACAGTCGCCCACCAAGAGAATGAAAGGGGCCGTCACCTTGGCAGAAGCTGCCAGCAAAAAGGCAGCAGTAGAAAAGCCTTTGCTGAATGGACACCTTAGAAAGGAAGTGCCAGAGAAGAGTTTGGAAAGAAATAGGCCGAAAAGAGCCACTGCTGGAAAGAGTACGCCAGGGAAACAAGCACATGGCAAAACTGAAAATGCCTCCTGTGAAAATCGTTCTACCTCTCAAGCGGAGTCCTTGCACAAGCCACAAGACTCAATGGGAAAGCACGAAAAGGGCAGTAGTAAGTCTGGGTGGGGGATGCTGGGGGAGATTCCCATCCTTAGGCCCTCCACCAAGGAATTTCATGACCCACTGATATACATTGAGTCAGTCCGAGCTCAGGTAGAGAAGTATGGGATGTGCAGGGTGATTCCTCCTTCAGACTGGAGACCTGAGTGCAAGCTAAATGATGAAATGCGGTTTGTGACACAGATTCAGCACATACACAAGCTAGGCAGGCGCTGGGGACCCAACGTGCAGCGGCTGGCCTGTATCAAGAAGCACCTCAAATCTCAGGGCATTACCATGGATGAACTCCCACTCATAGGTAAGGGCTGCGATTCCTTGGCCTTTTGCCGCTGCTTCTCGGTGTCCATGTACAACTTTATGCTCCGTTTGTCTTTATGCTTAACCAAACCCCTGTTCAATCAACACTGCAGAGCTCTGAATCTCTCTCTTTTCTTTGGCCAGGCATGATGCAGGCAGGTTGTCAGAGATTTCAGAATCTTCTTCTTTCTCTGCTGTTTACTTATGTGGGTAGTGTGACTGTGTATATTGATAGCCTTGTTTTAAAGGTCGTCTCAGAATATTTTCGAACCTTTCCAAAGATGTTTTCGTAACAGGTTGCAATGCTGCCAGGCTTTAATACATTTTTCTCCCCGCCTCTTCCTTTAAAAACATTTAACCAAAGGGGAAAGAAAATACCTCAGAACTGACTTGTGTTTGGGTACTCAGACACTTAAAATCACAAATTTGCAGTGACCTGCTGACATTTAACAACCATTAAGTGTCAAGAATAGGCAGTAAAATGTAGTTGATTGCAAAATGGAGGTTTCATTATTTCTCCCAGCAGGTGTCTGCCAGGGCTAATGCCTGAGTGAGAATCACTTATTTAACAGAATTCTTGGTTTATGGTCTGCTGTCAGATATGACACGTGACAAAAATGTGACAATAGTTAGTAAAAACGTGACATCAGCAGCATACAAATGAACTGTTGAATGAGCTGCCTCCATCTCTACTGCCTTTGCAGCCACCGCATAGTAAGAAACCTGTGGTTTTGATTTTTGTTAGTTCTTCCCTTTGTTTTCGAGGTGTTTTGAGTCATGAGCTCACAGGACCTGCATGCAACTCGAGGCTAGAGTTTTGCCTTTGAGGCATTATCCGGCCCGAGGCAGCTCTCGGCGCTGGTTGGATTAAAGGACACGCTTTTCTGTTTAAACGATTCACAACACTTCCTTCCCCCCGCCTCCTCCTTTTTAAACTTTATTTTATATCACATATGGTATGTGGGGAGAAAATGCATAAAAGCATACAAAATGATTGCAGACTTTATGGTGAACTGATGCAGGGCACAGCAGAGAATTAACAAAATTTTAAGAAGGAGGAAACGAGGGGTTAGCGCTTTGTTGCAATAACCGTGCAAAAACGTTCAAGGAAATCTGAAAATTAAAATCACTCAAGCAGCAATAAGTGAACATTTTGTATGCCTAATGTATGCAATGGTTGTATGCTAATAGAAAAGAATAATGAATTACATTTACATTGGCAAGAGAGAGAAGAAAATGTGCAAGACAGCTCGATTAACACTCCTGGAACGATGTTAACTTTTTAATGAAATACCTTAACTCGGCATTAAGATGGCATTACTGTTAATTATTTGTAATATTTAAGCACCTAAGAGCCTAATGAATAGGCAAGGATTCTATTCTGCTGGGTGCCATATAACCAGAGCAAACAAATTGTCTCTTAAAAATTTGCATCCTATGTATCCTTTCTGCAGTTAATTTCCCACCTATCCTGTGTTTAAAATCAAAACAAAATGTAGAAAAGAAGCAGGAGATCATCAGTGCACAAAGAGGAAAAATCTGTTGGTTCTATCAGGAAACTTATAATCTGTGCTGATAAATGCACACTTATTTAAGTATACCTGCATACATAGCCCTTCTCTCTGGGCTAAATCACATTTCCATTGAAGTAAGTGGGACTTTTGCCAATGGCTCATTTAGTGCCAGCATTTGGTATTAAATGCATACCTGAAGATTTAAGATTTTCTTAAAAATGAGCTTGCTCACTAAGCAATTTAAAAGTATTCCTAACTTAGGAAAATAAAGACAATTAAAAAAAAAATAAACACTGCCTCTGTATAACGTGCTGGATCTCCTATTTAAGCCATTTTGCTGTAGGTGCTTTTAAAGAGTTTAGAACTCTTTTGCTGTTGTTGTTTTCCCTTCTTTTTTTTTTTTTTTCCTTCAGTCTTTCAAGGAAAGTTTAAGCAGCAAGCTTAGGTCGATCCTGGAAAACATCAGTCTGAGATACAAATGCTTCCAAAAGTTATGACTGTGTGAAATGGAATTATAATTGAGAGCATTTTGCAAACCTTAGCTTTAGGCTCTGGTTGAATGAAGTGCTACTCGAGCTCTAATATTGCAGAGTGATTGTGAGTGATCATTCCACGATGCGGGAGAAAATTGAATTTTCAACAGTGCTGAAACTAGGACCTTAAAGTGGGTGTGTGCTGGAGAAAACACGTAATGGTAAATCTGGGCCACACTTCTCTCCAGGTTAGGAGTATGTTACCCAACTTCATGTAGACTGCTGAATCTGTTGGTATGGAAAGCTATCTTGAGTTACACCTTCAGCTAATTTGTGGCCTGCACCTAGAAACCACTGACCAAAAAAGGAACAGAAGCCATCTTGGAAGTTACTTTTTTACTGCATTATGTATGGAAGATTAAAAAGGAAAGAACGAAAACTTTCCAAACTAATTTTGTTTTTTTCTCCCAATGGTGTTTACTTTTTCTCAGCTTCAAGACCTTTTTGAAATCTTCCCCACCCCATTCCCAAATGGGAATTTGGGAATATTTGGGACTCCCAAATAGGATAAATCTGCTACCTTGTGGTTTCGTCTCCACCCTTATCATATTCTACTCAAAGCCTTATGCTTGGTTTTGTCTGCAGCCAAACACCTTTGCCTTGTGCTGTGTGGGCAGTATAAATGTCAGCAGCCTCTGGTGCTGCTCTGCCTCAGAGCCATTGGGACAGCCATTGTCCCAAAATGTTGCACACAGGTTTACACTTCTGAGCTTCCCTCATCACTGGATTTACACAAGTGGTGGAAGAGGGGAAAGCAGAGGGAAGGAGGAACACTGGAATCAGCACTGAAGCATCTGAGATGCAGCACAGGGTAGTTTGAGAAAAGTAATCCTGCTTGTGCTAGCAGGCAAAATGATAAGAGTTAAGATGATGTAGCTGTGCATCCTGCAGTAAATATTTACCATAATGCTGCTTCTTGCCCTCCTCTGTTGCAGTGGCATTTCTGAGTGCTTGGAAATGGCTATGGCATAATGGCTCTTTACTTTCCTCAAAGAAAAAGGCAAAGGGGAGACAGTGTGGCGGCAGAGATGTTGACGCTGGTTTTGTATTAATTCTCTTTTTTCCTTGAACAGCGCCCTGTTGAATTGTAGGTGGTCTTTGGGCTGTTTCGTCACTCTTCCCACTGATGATTTATTTCTGTGCTTTCAGAGTATTAATGATGTTTCTTTTATTGTTCCTCATCCATTTGGCTGCTACTTATGCTGCAGTTTGTATAATCCATTTTTTTTCTTTCTTTTTTTTTTTTTCCTGATTTTTCTTTTTTTATTTGAGTGGAGTGTGAAATGTGCTAGTCATCTTAAAACATACAAAAGCAGAATGAAGTATAAAATATGGATGGCCTCAGACTGGAAGAATAATGTGTCTGGAACCTTTTATGCAGTTGCAGGCTCCAACCCCAAACAACCCCTTGCCTCCCTTTGGTTTTTATATGGATTTTATTACTTGTAGTGAAATCAATAATGTTACTGTGCTCCTTTTAAATACTAACTTCATTCAAGGTGTTGTGCAGATATTAGATAATTGTTATTTCACCTCCAGAAAGGATAGGTATATGTCTTTCTGATGGCCAGTGCCCCAGCTTGACACTGTTTTTTTTATTCCTGGTATGAACCAGATGTGGGACTGGTGGGGGGGGCGGGGAGTGTGGGCTTTTGCAGAGCTGGGCAACTCTCACCTGCCCAGCTGCTGGGTAATAACCAGGTCACAGATGCACTTCAAGGAGATAGCTTGAGGTGCTCTGAGCAGAGAAGGACACAAAACTCAAGGAAGAGAGCAAACTGAATCATAGGGAGGGCTGTTGCAAGTAGTAGAATACAGCCTGTGAATGAATTAAGCTGGCAAAAACAGTGGTGCATGCCTCTCTTTAGCAGGAGGCATATAAGAGAGGGACAATTCTGCTCTGGTGCCCAGGTGCCTGGAGCTGTCATGTCCCCTGTGTGCCCAGCCTGGTAGCTTATTTGATGTGAGCTGCCCACAGCTTTTCTAACCTGCTCCTGTGTTTCCCCTTCCCTTCCTTTGCTGCCTGGCACATTTGGACCCCAGGAGGCTGCGAGCTCGACCTGGCCTGCTTCGTCCAGCTGATCAACGAGATGGGGGGGATGCAGCAAGTGACTGACCTCAAGAAATGGAACAAGCTGGCAGACATGCTGCGCATCCCCAAAACTGCACAGGACAGGCTGGCCAAGCTACAAGAAGCCTACTGCCAGTACTTGCTCTCCTATGACTCCCTCTCCCCCGAGGAGCACAAGAAACTGGAGAAGGAGGTCTTGCTGGAAAAGGAAATCCTGGAGAAGAGGAAAGGACCTTTGGAGGGACATTCAGAGAATGCCTACAAGTTCCATTCCTTGCCCCGGTTTGAGCCCAAAAATGGACTCATCAATGGCGTGGTTCACAAAAATGGCTTCCGCAACAAGTTAAAAGAGGTCGATGTCCCACTGAAGACGGGCAGGCGGCGGCTCTTTGCTCAGGAAAAGGAGACCACGAAGGAGGACGAGGAGGAGGAGGAGGAGGATGGAGTTCTTAGCGACTTACACAAGTGTATATACAAGGTAATGAGGCTGGCTCTGCCCGGTCAGTTTTGTGGAGCCAATGATGCTGTTGTGTGGGTGGTGTCTGGGTGCACACCCAGCTGTCTGAGGGGAGCTGATGAGTTGCAGTGACATCCCCAAGGCAGCAGTTATCATGGCCAGGCAGTCTGGTGGCTTTATCCTGATAGGCCTGGCTCTTGCAGGATGTCTGGAAAAGCTGGGAGGCATTATTGTCATAACAAGATGCACTGGGTTCTGCCCCCCTTCATCTCCTTGTGAGAGGTTCCCTGAATATCTCTGCCCAATTATCCTTGCAGACACAGATTGTATTTTCATTTTCTAGTGACATTTAAAGTAATGTTCTGCTTTCTCATTCCTGCTCCTTGCAAATCTCTTGTTGAGTGAAGTAGTGCTGCACATCAAAACGAACATCACTAGAAATACTACTACATTTAGAAAGGGCAAATTGAAATGCAAACAATATTTTCATCCACGATGCCAGACTTTGCTCAGCACTAAAGAGTCACGTGGATGCTTAGTCCTCCACATATCAAGTATATCCATTTACAAAGGAATGCTGACTCTTTCACTGTATTTTATTTGGCAGTCTCCTTCTCTGGAGCAGGACTTGGCACTGCAACTCACAGTGCAATTTTGAGTTGTGTTGAATGGCATAGCCGCACTCTGAGAGAAATACAGCATTGAGCGTCTGTGCCCAGTAAAGAAATATGCTGTTCTTCCCCTTCCAATCTCACTTCCATCACCAGGAAATGAAGCCAGATAGCCCAAAATTACTTATTGTTAAGCTATTTAGGGACTGCATGAGCTCATGACTTGGGCGTTAAAAGCTTGCTTCAGTTTTTTTTTGTGGCCTGTTATGATTTGTCAGCCCAAAAATTATTTTTCTTGGGGACTCTGGCCTCAGTCCCACCTTTGAAAAGCAATCTCTTTGCCATGCTGCCCTTGGAGAGAAGCTTATTTAATGACAGCACCTTTTGTGAATAGTGAAGTGTCATTTCTGTTCTTAATATCCTGTGCTTAATGATGGTTAAATGAAAAATTTGATACACCTTACCCTGACTGCTGAATGAACAACCTCCAACTTAGTGGGGGAATGCTTTTTTCTTCTTTTCCAGTGCAAGTCCCACTTCAAAGTTCAGTAGATACAAAGTCACTCAAAAAGCAATAATGGGATTTATGAGAAGTATCCCAATCGGATTTAGGAAGTAAAAAAAACAAAAAGCAAGCAAAGTGTAGCTGATATAACCAGTCTGAGTCTGCTGAGTACCAGGCCTTTACCCCAAAAGGCAGAGATCTCCCAGAACTTCTGCTTGTTCACCAAAAAAACGCACTAGCCTTACTCACAGCATCAGACCCTGTCTGAGTCAGACAATTCCAGGTAGAAATCCTTTTGTCCTGAGCATGGAGGCTGTTAGAGAGGAGCATCACTGAGCCCATGGGCCGGGGCTCTCCCCACCCACCAAAGCAGCTGCAGCACATGGAGCCACTCAGAGAATGCCTTGGGTTGTCCACTGTGGGACCAGCAGCTTCCCAGACACTGGGGATTGCCTGTTTTGATCCCATGCCACGTTCTCTGTAGTGCAGAGACTGGGAGCTGCTGTCACAGGTGATGGGCTGGGGAGAAGGCAGGGGGAAGCAAATCTCTGGTGGATTTCTGGAGAAATCCCTGCTGTGGAGCACCCTGTGGGATGCCTGCTCAGCCTGAGTGCAAAGAGAGGAATGAAACTTCACTTTCACAGCAGTCAGTGTAAAGCCTTGTAGGAGGACTAATGCATTAATACTGCTTATGTCACTTAGAGCAAGCCTCCAGACACAGAAATTATGCATCAGGCTTGATGCACCATGGAAGCCCACAAGAGGTAAAATTGCTGTAGTTCATCACTAGACTTTAAAAGACTGAGGGAAGGTGTTGCTGGCATCAGTTGTAAGCAGAGAGTGCTTTGTGGCATTTAATGAAACAAATGAAACTTTTAATCCTGTGTGTGTGGATGGGGGAGTGTTCTTTACCTAATAAGGTATTCCTGAGAAAATTCGAATTTCATTAACAGAACCTGCCCTCCTGTTACAGTTTCCAGAGATGATGGGATTGTAATGGTTCCTTTTTAAAGCACATTGCTACTGTGATTTCTAATTAAAAACACACATAAACCGAAACAAAACAAAAACCCATCTCTGTGAAAGATGCCTAGGTCAGTATCTTGAGGGCTGGAGGGAGCACATGGTAATCATATGGCTGTAGTCCAGTTTAGGCCATAAAGTCTGTTCTTCAGACTGTGAAGAGGCCATACATTTAGGGTTTCTCACAGTAATTTCTGCAGTCATCACATGCTTGAGCCGTTTTTAGCAAGAGACATCCAGTCTTCCAGAAGCAGTTACCACCCTATCACATGTCAAGGTTAGAGTAAATCTCCTTTGTGTTAGGCTGACTTTCTGCCAGGACTCCCGAATTATTTTCAGTGTCTCTCCTTCCAAGGCTGTGAGGCCTGCTGTGCTTTTAAATGCGTGCTGCAGGCTGCTGTGCTTGCTTGCTTTGCTCTTCAGTAAGTGGCTTTTCTACCTGATGATTAAAATATTGTCATTTCTAAGTGTGTGAAGTAAACTGCTGACATCAAAGCAGGCTCTGATGCAAGACTTTCACTCTTCTTTCCCCAGTTTTAGCTCTGAAAATATTTTAAAAATCTTTTACAGTGCTGACTGAAAGCAGCATTTGTGTTTCCATACAGAACACAAACTGAAGGCATATAGCAGACTCGTTAGAGGGACACACAGAAGAAATCACAGTGCGAGTTTTGCCAGCCCTCCCATAAAACCATCGTGGAAATCCTATGCTGAGCTCTCTTTGCCCAGGGAGGGACTTGGCATTTTCTTACTCCATTTAATAGCAGCCCCTCCTTCCCACCTGTGGCTATTGTGGAATATCTGGTTCCATCTCATATTTATGTTTGCTTTAATGTCTTTAACATTCATAGCATTGCAGCGTCCTTCTCTGTGCCTTCCCTCCAGGCTTGGTGGTGGTGGTGATGGTCCCCCTAGGTTGGCTCTCATGGCCCCTGAATCAGACTTGAGAAGAATCAGGGGAGGAAATAGGAATTTCTTTTCTTAGACCTTCCTCTTGTCTCTGCTTTGTAGCTTGAAGCACCTAAGACAGTTGTTGAACTGCTGAGATATTTTTCAGGGTGTTGGAGAGTGTATTTTGCTCCTCAGCAATTCATTTTGTGTTCTGGTTAGAATGCTCCATTAAATTTTAAATTATTTTCTGTGTTGGCATTAGAAATTGTTACAAGATTCCTCAGATTAAAGGCAACAACCAAACAACACAAACAGACAACAGAAAAAACCTTCAGCCATTTTTTTACAGTTTTTAGGAGACTAAGAAAAGATACCAAATTCTTGGTAGAGGAAGAAACGGGTATATGCAATTTTAAAGGGTTAAACTATTCCAGTTTTCCACTTTCTTTTTAATTGCTTGCTGTATACTTCTGTTTTCTTTCTTGTCTATTTGAAAAATGGAAAGACATGGCTAATCTTGGAAGATGAGGCCTTAATTTTGTTTTTCTGCATAAGATGAGAGGAAGAAGCAAGTAACAGAAAGGAGGCAGCTGCTGCAGTGTTGGCTTGCCCCTGGTGCAGGCTGCGCCCGAGCGCGGTGACTTGGTGCGGGCCCCGCGCTTTACGAGAGGTTTTGTTGTAAAAGGCTGCCTCAATAAACCATTCACGAGGGCATTAAAAGATGAAGGAAATTGCTTATTGGATCACAGAGAATCCAGCTCTGAAGTTTATGGGAATCGGAGTGCCCCAGGCCCTGGGCATTTCACAAACTTTTTTTTGCTAAAGCTAATTATGCAGCATTCAATTTAAGAAGTGACAACGTTAAAACCGTAAGAGCAGAGTGATAGACTTGGCCTCTGGGGGAAAGCTGCTTTTATAGTTCTTTCTAGTTTACTCTTGGACATAGTTATTAAATAAATTAAACACAAGAAAAGGCTGAGGTGGTTTGGCAGATTTGTTTCATAATTGAAAAACTAGAACGGTAACAGTCCAAATAATAAAACTCATTTATGCAGAGTTTGTAAATCTGTGGTTGCTCAGATGAGCGGTCAGGGGGCAGAGTGGGAAGGAGCAGTGGATCTGGTGAGGGGGCAAAGAGGTTTTGTACTCCACTGCCTGCAGCTGTGCCCTCAGACCTTGTGGTGCCTGCCAGCTCTCAGCGTGCAGCTTCCCAGCATCTTCCTTCTGCCCTGGAGCAGAGGCAACAGAGGTGTTCCTGTCTGGGCACACCACGATGTCGGGGCTGAAAGGAAGCAAGCGGTTTCTCACGCTCTTGCCTTCAAAGCCATCAGACAATGCTTCCCAAAGCATCTGGTAGTGTAGGTGTGCAGGAAAGCAGGTGCATGGAAACTTTGTGGTAGCTCAAGCAGAAAACCGAGTCAGAGCCTCTTCTTGTCCAGCTCCTGCAGCAGTGCCAAGAAAGAATGCACTTATTCAGCAATTCTACTGTGTTTTACTTTTCCTAACCTTATAATAACAGGTCTTGGTTCCTTGGCATTTGAACTGCTTTTATTGAGTGGAGCATAACTAGTTTCTGAAAGCAAGTGATTACAGTAATCCTGTAATCCTGGCAAACTCTGCTTTTTGTGACCCTCTTCCACCACATACAACATTTGATGCTGAGCATTTCTGTGAATTCTCTAAGTCTTTTTTGCCTGCTCCTTGTACATAAAGATCATGGCCACGTGGTCCCTGGATTATGTACTGGATTTGACTGGCTGCCTACTGGGGTCTTTGCAACTTGTCATAGGAAGCTGGGCCTTGTCCATCCTCTGTATTTATCAAACACTGAGTGTTGTGCTGGACAAAGCAGTGTTCCTTCTGGGAACATTCAGTTGGCCTTTTTTCATGGTGAGTTTGGGAAGTTCATGTGATTGAATTTCTGTATCTTTTGAGGTATTTTCTCTCAGCAACAAAATGAGCTTTTGACCCATACCTCTTCTGGTGACTTTGTCCTCTTTCCCTGTGTTGTCATCTGGGATCGAGCCTGTAAGGAAAAGGGTGAAGACATGGGGGAATGTAGGCGTGCTTTTTCATTTTCACTTTTAACTTTATCTTCTTTTTCCACAGGGTAGGTCTGTTTCTTTAACAACCTTCTACCGAACAGCAAGAAACATCATGAACATGTGCTTCACAAAGGAGCCTACAGTAGCTGAAGTAGAGGTGAGGCCAGCTCAAGGGGTGGTAAAGGTTTTTATTTCAGGACACTGAGTATGGGGATTCAGGATAGTTGACTTTCAAGAATTTCTGTAATCAGTTTAAGGCTATCTAGTTTGGATTTTTGAAAAAATGATCAAATAGACATGGTGCTGATTCTTCCTTTTTTAAAGTTCTTGGAACATTTTTAATAAAGGTGTTGATGAACTGAGGAAGAGAAAGAATTCTTAATCTGACATGTGCTGAAACACAGAAACCAAGGGGATCTAAATTTTGCCTGCCTTATTGTGACTTTTAATTATTTATATTCTTATTTTTAAGCAGTATTTTATGTTGAATTGCATTGAGGTCATGAAAACCTTGTAAATTTCTGGGGTTTATATTTTAATGAGAGATACCTTGTTCAGCGAATTAAAAATGCATTACTGCTTTCTCTTACTACAGCAAGAATACTGGCGGATAGTGGAACAGAAAGATTGCCATGTAGCAGTGCATTGTGGAAAAGTAGATACCAACACCCACGGGAGTGGTTTTCCTGTGGGAAAATCTGAACCATTTTCAAGGTAAGAGCTCCAAATCCATCCTCTTTGTTGCCTCACTCAGCAGCAGAGCACAGCAGGGCAGCTTGGCACTGGGAGTGTTGGCACTGGGAATGTGCACTGACTGTGTCTCCCTCTGTGTCACCCCTCAAACAGGCATGGGTGGAACCTCACAGTCCTTCCTAATAATACAGGATCCATCCTGCGACATCTTGGTGCTGTGCCTGGTAAGCCAAGTCCCTTCTCTGGGTTTTAAGCCGGTGTCAGTGTCCTCTGAATGTGATGCTGTGGGCACCAAATGCTTCTCCCTCTTCCAGGACCTCTGGTCCTCAGCTGACTGAGCAGACGTGCAGTTGGATGTACCAGGTGGTATTTAAAGGGGGGGAGGCAGCCATGCACATAAAGGATTAGTGAACAGTTGAGACCCTACTCCTGGGAGGAGCTGGTTGTACCTGCAGTATCCCTTGCTGTTCTTGCCAGGCTATCAGTGTTCTTTTGTGTCAGGACAGAGCTGTGCAGCTTCTACACTTGCAAAATGTAGTCTGTAGCACTGGGAAAAGCAGCACACACATTTTTAAATGAATTCACACAAATTCTCCAGCTGCCTATACACCATTGCAGGTTACTGGTAAGAAACATTGAAAGCACAGGGGAATCTCCTGGTAAGATCAGGTGTTGAGCCTGAACAAACCAGCTGGGAAACAGGATACCTGTTGAAAAGTTACGTGGATGCTTGACAGCATGAAGCAACCTCTGATCGGTGGCAGTGAGCTTGAATTATGGGTATTTGTAAATTCTCCTAAGAATAAAAGTTTTATACAGCTATTAGAAAACAAACAAGTTCAAGGGCAGTGCAGTTGGCTGGTAGATATTTTCTTAGTGGAAAATGCTGAATTTGTTAAATTACTCGCTGTGAATTATTCACTCTGATAGGAAGACATAACTTCAAGGGTCAGGTTACAGGGAAAATAGGATTTTTTATTTAAATCCCCTCTCAAACTGTCTTTCACTGAACAAACTGAACTTACTCAAAACTCATTTTTCAATCTCTTTGTTTTAGGAGTGACAATTCCTTGGCTAAATATTGGCATGGTCTTTTCTACCTCATGCTGGTCTCGAGACCAAAATCACCTTCCATACATTGACTACTTACACACTGGTGCTGATTGCATTTGGTAAGTATTCCTGTTGTTTTTCTTCACGTTTCCTGCAGTGTCTGCCTGTAGGCTAGTGTTAGTAGTAGCTTGTGTAGTAATTTTGCATGAGGGAATCTCACCTAGAAGGGCCAGTGTGTGTGTTGGGGTGGGGTGTTGGGTTTGTGTGTGTGTCTGGTTTCCCAGTTGTAATGGGAAAATGTGGTATAAACTTAGGAAATTAAAACCCATTCCTGGAAGAAATGTTTCATTTGGTTTTCCATGGTCTGTTTTGGTTGTCTTTATGTCCCCATGGTGGCAGTGGCATAATGAGCTGCTCTTTATGCACATGCAAAGTGTGTTCTTACACGTTTCTCAGACGCTGCTGATGTCAAGGGTGCTGATCCAGCTGTCACTGGGAAAGCACATGGCCCAACAAAAAGGATTTGAAATTTGGAGAAAACCATTAAAGCACGATCTCCTCTCTCTAAATGTGTTAGGCTTAAGAAATGTTCTGTATGTGATCCTCTCAAGGGGTAAAGGTAACTGCTGGATTCTGCTGCAGACCTGCAGTTTCTGACATGGGCATTTCATGGCTCTTCTCCCTGTTCCGTGAATCAGGAATCTGTAATCTTTTATAATAGTTTATTATCAGGACAAATTGCTGAGCAAGCTGCGTTGTCCTCAACCTTAGGTGAGTCTGTTTCTCTCTAAAACATTAATCCAGTCTTAAATGACAGGAAATTCCAAGCAAAAGGTATTCAGGAATCCCCTAATTAAGTTCTGAGGCCACTCTTCATACTGTGTGACTCTTGGGATTGAACAGTCTTGCATGCAGACAGCTCAAATTTTAGGAAAGACTAATATTCCTGTTTTTCAAATCCAATAAGAATAAAAGTAAAGAAGCCATTTGCTTTATCTTGATGGACTTAAACAGATGAGTACATAGCTTAAGGCGTGTTTGTGATAGCCTTGATGAAACAGGGATAGTAGGCAGGAATAACTGATAAGAAGAAAGTGGAACTCCTTTGTCTGTTGAAGGTATTCTTCAGCAAGGCTGCCAGCCTGAAGTGTCAGGCTAGTATTCATTAGCTCATTACAACTTCTAATAGTGCAGTAAAGCACCCAGCTGTGTTAGGAGAAGATGAATTTAATATCTGCAGGTCTGGCGCAGTTCCTGGAGTAGCCCTGACAGCATGGCCTTCAGTCGCTACTTTGGAGACCGTAACTTTGAAGACCTCTCCGTCTTGCCAAGTCCATCCACCACCCAGAAATCTTCTTCTCCAAGGACAGATCCCTGTGCTACTCAAACCACTTTGCTTACCTGAAGATCACTCAGATCACTCTCTAATCTCTCAGGTTTTACCTCATGGAGATTAAACAGGGGAGAACTCAATTTGCATGCAGGGCAGAGGTCAGTGACCTAACCTTTTTATTCTGGAGGGATCCTCAGTGCCCATTAAAAGACAGAAAGAAATCTTGTTCTTCCAAGGCATTCAGAAGTCTTTACTGGCTGCTCACTTCCCATTTTTATAGGTACATCAGGAATTGCAGATGAGTGCAATTGCAGCATACACCAATTGCAAAGGATCTCATTCCCCATGGTCCTGCCCCAGGCACTTTGCCATGCACTTCTGTGCTGCCCCTCTTCACACATTCTTTCCAAGCATTTTCCTGTGCCTGTCTTGCGAGGGACTGCATGCTTGAATCTTCTGTCTGTTCCAGCCATATTTTCTGACTCTAAACGAGAAGGGTGGGTTCTGTCATGATCTGGGTTCAAATTTAAATATTTTCATCCCTGTTTCAAATCTGTTATTATAGTGTAACTAGGGTGATACACCTCACATGGGGAGATGTACTGAAGGTGTCACTGTTAGCAACTAAGTATTTGAGACATGGCATACATTTAAAATTGCTGTTGGGACCTGGTCCTTACTTATCAAGATGAAGTTCTACTTCACCTCTCTATCACCCTAGGAGTTCTTAGGAAGGTCCTGACCATTGTCAATATACACGTAAGGAGTTGGTCTTTGTACACCTGGGCAAACAGCTCAATAAAACTCTTATTGTGGCTGCAATTAGCTATATGAGCAGATAATGTCATGTCTTCTGCCTCTTGGCTTGAAGGTCAACACAAATCAAAGTCATCATCAGTACAGTGAACAGTGATGAGGTGTTCAGATCATAGGAAGTGCAGATCTGCCTTCTGCAGACTCTTCAGTCAGGGTGACTCCATGTGATGTACACAGAATTGGTGCACGTTATAAGCAAGTACCCTGACAAGGTGTGTAAGGCCAGCAGAACACTTCATGAAGTTGCTGGAGAGATCGTATGAATGGCAGGAAGACTGTACCAGTTCCCCAAAATTTTTCCAGCTTCATTCTCTTGTTCCAAGTTTGGAAAAACAACTCTGTGTGTGTGTTTCTGGTGTGGGGGCAGATGGGCTCCAGGTTGAGGTCTCATTGCCTAAAGAGAAGGGTTAAGTCATGATAAAGCTGGAGAAGCTTTTTTACTTGCCTGAGCATCACCCCTCGGATAGGCGGCGGGCAAGAGCAGTGAGCAGCTGTGACCATATCGCCTCCCTGCATCCAGAAAAAACAGCAGTTCTCTGGATGTGTGGCTCTAAGACTCAAGACTCCCATGTCACTTGTCATTCTGCTGAGGGAGCAGTGCTGGCAGTGAGCACAAGAGGACAGCTGCTTCCTTGGCTTCTAAGGAGAGAAGGATGTGCAACTTGGCAGATTCCCAGCAGAATCTGAAACCTCTCCTGCCACTTTGGCTGCTCTTAGTCAGGTGTTCTGTTACAAGGGAGAGGAGGGATGTGGGATTTGTTCAGTAAGCATGGCAAGAAGGTCTTAGGCAACTTCATGCACTAACAGTAGGGGGAATTTGTGGTTTCTTGACTGTTGCAAACAGAAAATGCTATTAAATGTGAAGGTCCTTTGGTTGATGCACAGATGATAAATACAGCCTTTTATGGTAAAGATAGCAACATATATTGGTGCTGACAAGGTGCAAACCTCTGCCCCTAATTGGTTTGGTGTTGTTAAAATGAACATCAACCTATTGCTGGTTTCTGTCCTCTGACTTTACAGAGGACTGAGTTTCCACATTTCTGTTTTGGGGATTTTGTGTCTTTTGATACTTGCTGAACACGATCAGACTGAGTCTGAATAAACAACTTCCCTTCAATCCCTCAGTGTTTTACCAAAAGAACTGTGTGTGAAAACCTGTGTTGAATTTCTTTCTTCTAATCAATGTGCTGGTCTGAATTGCCTGTTACTGTGTAGCTGTGGACCATAATTTACTCCACAGTAAATCTTTCTCTTTTCCTCTGACAAAACAACAGGTATTGCATTCCTGCTGCGGAGGAGAACAAACTTGATGATGTGGTACATACCCTGCTGCAAGCCAATGGCACTCCAGGGCTGGAAATGCTTGAAAGTAATGTAATGGTAGGTTAACACTGGGAGAAGTGCTCCCATTTGAGAACCCAAGGCTAATCAGGAGGCTGGTTGGTTGGGCATTTATTTTGGTTTTGTCTTACACTGCAGTGTTTGCAGTATTTACCCACGTGGTATTTTTCTAACAAGGCTGTTATTATGTATTAATATAAAAACAGACATGAAAGTGCAATAAATGTCCATTTTTAATACTGTCCGTAATGTATTTAGCCTCACAAAGGGAGTGGATTTAATCAATTCATCTGCTATTTTATGACATTTTACGATGCCAGCATGGATAGGAGAAACCTAATACTTAAGTATTTTTGCCTGTTTATCTTTTGGATAACAATTTCTTTTAGTACATTTAAGTATAAATTGGGGAGCCCATAACAAAAACCCTCCCTTGGTTACCCACGTTAACATCTCACAGAAGTGCAGTAGCACAGTGGTTCAGTGCCAAGTCGGAAAAGATTGGATGGAAAGCTAAATGATCTGCATTGCTTTCTGTAGAAGCAGACAGTGTTCTGTCCTTGGGCATGTGAGTTTGAACTGTTGGTTTGAGGAGAGGCACTTCTGCAATTGTCACTCCAAATGATGGGGTTTGGCACGTGCGGAGTGGGAGAGGGAAAGCGACCGGAGCGGAGCTGTTGGCAGAGCACAAGCTTTGCTCCACGAGCAGTAGCAGGTGGCAGCACACAGCCAGGAAGAGGACCAGAGAACTGTAGAAGAAAGTTCTGACTGATTGTTTTTCTTTCTCTTTTTTTTATTTCCCTCTGTCTTTCCAGATCTCCCCAGAGATCTTGTGTAAGGAGGGGATCAGGGTGCACCGTACTGTACAGCAGAGCGGGCAGTTTGTTGTCTGTTTTCCTGGATCCTTTGTGTCCAAAGTATGTTGTGGCTATAGTGTTTCCGAATCGGTGCACTTTGCTACCACCCAGTGGACAAGTATGGGCTTTAAAACAGCCAAGGTAAGTTGAGAAAAGGAGTTAAAATGGATTCACGGCCCTGCCATCTAAAAGGACAGCAGACATTCCAGGATTGGTAGCATTATGAGAGTAGTGCACCTACATCTGTTTTTCTGGAGTACTAAATAAATAAAAAAAAAAGAAAAGAAAAAAGTTCTGCAAGGCATAAAATGATCCAGTGTTTTCAGAAAAGTGACTGAGTTGTTACACATCTATAAAAAAATTCAGAAGATTGTTATGCCTGCAGACCAGTTTGCAAGGAAGCTTTTCAAAAATCCGTTCAGAGCTAATGATTATACATTGTATTATGCTTACTATTTTTTTTTAAGTGATGTTTTCTAGAACCATTAGAATCTCAGGTGCAAATATCTGAATAACTGTGCTTGTTAGTTCCAGTGGTAGGCAGAGTCAGTTAATACTTACAGCTGTATTGCTTATTCTTCTCTGCCCCTTCATTCAGGAAAAACTGTTGATCAGGGCAATTTCAATTTTACTCAACTTGAAAATCCTTAGGTTCACTGACCAGCCCATCCAATAATAGATGTAAATAAATAACCTTCCCATTCCCTTTTCACACAACTGGCTGAGGCAGGTTGCCTGCAGAAACAGGTGACTTGTCCAGTCATCATGATCCTGGCTACATTTCTGTGTTCTTGGAAAAAGAATAAACATCACTAATTGTGTGCCCAACCTTCTGAAATACACTCTGGGCTACAGATACTATTTTGGTAGTGTTTTATAGCTAAGCCATTAGTAAATTATCCTTTACAGCTTCAGACCAAGTTACTAAGTAATTACCTATAATATGTCCACAGTTAGGGATTGCTTCTTTAGGGTAAATGGAATTCTTCCAGCCTGGTTATATTAACTGTATATTAACTCAGTTTGAAATAAAAGGTTATTTTTATTATATATTTATTTTGGGGGAAGGTGGGAATTGTGTATATCTATAAGTAAGGCATAAGAATCCTGAGCTAACCTTTCCTGTCTGAAAATACATGATTATATTGACTCCATGTGCTGTATTTATCGCTCTACTGAACACTTGTTTGATATTGTGGAAATGCTACTCCTGTATGAGACAGAAATCACTATGCAGCAATTAAACAGCTCTTGGTGCCTCAAATTTTGAAGAACAGTTTCTTTTGATTAATTTTTAAGAGCTTTGCACTGGGTAAATATAAACTGACTGAAAATCCAGGAGATTACAGTCTATGATAACCTACCTTGGAAATTGAAGTCACAGCTCTCACAAACTTTACAAGAACCACAGATAACATGTTTATATCAAAACAACTTTTGAACCATCTACTGTGTTGTTCTTTTATTTCTCTCTTTTTTTTTCTTTTTCCCTTCCCTTTCTGTCCTCAAACTGTCTTACGTTTTTAATTCCCTTTAATTTTGGAAATTATTCTTTGGTTCCTCCACTTTGACAAGGCACTTTGCCATCTTTGCCACAACGCTGGCCAGGATAGTGCTTTCCAGAGGTGGTGAGAGGTTCTGTGGAATGGGCAAGATTCCCCTTTTGGACTGTTAAATGATCCCTCTGATAAACAACTGTATCTTCTGTCTGTTCGTTCTCCACAGCAATACTGACAGTTTTTAGCGTTTGATAAATTCACTTTGTTTTCATCCTGTGATACTGTGACCTGATTTTTTTATAGTGACTATCTTTATATTACTAAAATGATGTTGTTTCATTTCTGTATTGAATGGCTGCTCAGTCTCCTTTAATACATGGAAAAATGAAATTCTGCATCTGAAATGGCATTGATTTCAGTCTTACAAATACTTCGGAAAAATTTTTGGAATAAAGGAGTTTATATAAACACCTGTGTAAAGGGACAGTCAGGTTTAACCTAGACCATACTTGGAACAAGGTTGCTGTTTTTTAAAAAGCACCCTAAGAGCTCTTGACATTTTAAGGCAAGGATGAGAAGAAGATTTAGAGTTGTGGTGGAAGAGTGTGTGTTTGGAATGGCAAAGGGATAACTCCATAGCTTCAAATAAGGCACTGGGCAAAGTCAGTGAAACTCATTTAGGAAACTGAAGTAACAGAGAATGTTGAACTAAATGAAGGCTCTCTGGGTTAGATGTTTGGAAATAAGAGGGAATGTCTGTTTTTAAAGGAAGGCTTTGATGCTCTAGGGCCTACCAGAAACTGGGTGGGAAGAGACTCAGCTGGTACTGTAGTACAAGAGGAAGAAGTACATAGGAAAGATGGAGTTAATCTTCCAGTTGAAGCAGCACTGCTGCACACAGAGGAGAGTTTACAGTCCATAAGCCAGGTTTAACTCTGTTACCAGTGACTGAATCCCTGTGCACTGATCTCCCTGATAGGAAAACTGTGGTATTAGCACAGTATGTGCTCCATGTATAGTACTCCATGGCCATCCAAGGAAGATGATGGCAGGGGCTGGGCAGATATTTCCCCACCTCCAGTTTTAATTGGGGTGAGGAACATACTTTCAAATGCCACAGGTGTCCCACTCCTTGGCTCCTGTCACAGAGCTGTCCCACCCTGAGCACATGTGGCTCCTTCAGATGAAACCAAAGGGAAAGTGGTCCTACAGAGGTCTACCTGATGTCCTCAGTAGAAAAAAAGCTGTGCTTTGGTGGAGAGCAGAGATTAAGAATCTTGGAAGAGCAGTAAAATAGAAATGAACTATTGCTGTGGAAGAAGTAAATGTACAAAAATATGAGAACAGGGCAAGCACCATGGTGTCTTTTGCAGCAAGGTCATGGCCTCCAGCCCTTGAAACTTTTGGAAGTAGGTAAGGACAAGAGTTGCAGCTGACAGAGTCTGTGAGCATTATTTTTAGGAGAAAAGGCTCTTAAATTGAGAGGTGAAGTTCACACACCAAAAAAATAACTGATATAAATAAAACAGAGTACAGGTCAGTTTTTATCATGAAGGGAGGAGGTCTCTTTCTGCACTCCTCAGGAGTTTGTAACGGCACAGTTTCATGTATCCATAAATAACTTAAGGGAAGTTATTAGCAAAACAAATCCTTTGTGCTGAGGATATTAATGGTAATGCCAGTAACAATTTAAGCTATGAAGTGTTGTAGAAAGATTTCATGATACTGAGTGGTCCAATTGAGAAAACGTTAGATGAAGTTCAGTGTTGATAAATGCTAAATTTAAATTTAAAAACATAATCCTAATGTGACAGATACAGAGACGGGCTCTGAATGATGGGCTCTTGCTACTGAGAAAAGAGGTCTTTGGATTCCTATGGAGCTGTCAGTCAAGTGCTGTGGAGTGGCATAACAAAAATACATTGAATGTTAAGAATTACAAGGAGATAGATAACAAAGATAAACAAGATAACAAAGCAGAAACTGCTCTGGCACTGTGTAGTCTCGGTGGTTTGCACAATTCAGAGCCCTTAATTGCAGAACTAGAAAAAGCACAGCAGAGATCAATGGTTAAAATTATTAATTAGCCTCTGCATTAAATACGAGAGCACTACTCAGCCTGGAAAATGAATGACCAAGAGATGTATGAGAGCAAGAGAGATCACAAGTGTCAGGATGATGATAATTGTAATGTGAATGTTCACTGACTTTCCTGACATTGAAAAATGTGTCACTAAAAGAAATAATCAGGCAGCAGTAAAAGACTGTTGTAAAATACTTACCTGTGTATTTCAGTACTGTATGGAAGAGAAAAATCTACATAGGTTCAGAAAATGAGATAAATGCATAGGTACAGCAAGGGTGTCCCTGAGCTGTCACCCAGCTGGAGCCAACCTAGCTTTCTTCTGCAGCCACCCACTGTGGCCTTTTATCCTGTGCAGGGTTTTATCCTGGATCGGAGTCTGTGCTTGTGTACACAGCCTAAGACTAAGTAAACCTAACATGGAAAAATTTTCCCATACCACTCCTAAACAGTGCAGCTGTTCCAACCCCAGGCAGGGTCTAACAGAGCAAACAGCTTCTGAACACTTTTCTTACCTTTAAACCTTTTTTGAACCCTTTTTGGTCAGCAAAGGCTACTATTCCATTTTATGTGATAGTTGTCACTTGAATGCAGGCAATTGGTGCTGTTAAAAATTATTAATTTTTTGATATATTGGTTATGAAAAAAGAAATACCCAGAGCATGTAATTATACAGAATACAATACAGAACAGGGTGAAAATTAAGATAAGAAATAAAATCTTTGAGGTTGTGTGTGCTGAGTAGATCTTTGGCAGGTTTAACCACTAACCAGAAATGTCACCCTCACATTACAGTCCAGTGTTAGCTCATTTGACTTCTCTGACTCTACATAAACCAGAACAGACCCCTCCACGTACTGGGAAGATGCTGCACTTCTCCCACCTGGACATTAATTTAAGGGACTTGTCTACTTAAGAATTATCAAAAGGGTTTCAGCTATCAAAATAGTTTGGTTTGTATTCAGTGAAAAACATAACTTTCAAAACTTTCACAGAGAGGAACCAGTAACAGGCAGAACTGAACCCCCTTCTTTTGTCTCTTTTCCCTGACATCTGCCTGTTCTGCTAGGTTTTTGTATGTTTTAAAAGATGCGAAATAACACCAGTCCTGGGTTTCAAGCAGGTCATATGTTACATATGTATACATTACATATCTTACACTGTTTGTACTCTGAGCCATCCAGAATTAATGAACTTGAGTGATGGTGTTGGTCCTCTTGGCCTCCACAGGGAAAATTAATTTTTAGGGAGAGAATTTTGAGGTGCTTGGAACATAAACACTTTGTTTAAGTGGGACTGTGGAAAGATTTTACTTGTGGTTGTTTTAAAAGGCTATTTTTTGCTTCAGTTTATTAGTATCAATAATACTAGTTAATTAACTTTGAATTAATTCTTGGTAAATTATTTTTTTTTTCAAATTTGCTTGGGACTTAACATGGCAATTTCCCCCTGTCCCAGGAAATGAAGCGGCGCCGTATAGCTAAACCATTTTCAATGGAAAAGTTGCTTTATCAGATTGCAACAGCAGAAGCAAAAAAAGAAAATGGACCGACTCTGAGTACAATATCATCGCTCCTTGGAGAGCTCAGGTAACGAATTGGGGGCTTGCTTACCTCTTTTGTTTTCATTGACAGACTCCAGAGGTGGATGACGTAAGTAACCCCTTCAGACACCCTACTTATCCAAGCAAAAGCCCAGCAGATGTACCTAAAGACAGGCACACATAGAAGAAGCAGCTTCCTTGGCTGTAGCTGATGTGACAGTGCCCACGGTTAGGATGTCTTAACTCTTAAGAATTCCCTACTTTAGACACCTTAAAAAAACTGAAACTGCACTTTGCACTGGGTTTTTGTTAATTCTTGGTGCTGAGAGTTCCTGATGCATTATGTGAGCTATGTGGTGCCAAGTGGTCAAACACTTTCCTTGAGTTTTTCGACCTCTTGGCATTAGTAGTCACTGTAAATCTATGTCTGTAATGGATTTTGCACCAGGAACCCTTGTCTTCAGTATCAAGACTCTTGTATTACAGGTGCAAAAGGTCCTTTTAATACAGGAAGTTGTCTTGGCTTTAAATAGTGAGTAAGAGAGCAGTCGTGCATGCATGGTAACACATCTGGTGTTAGAACTCCAACGTTCCAAAGAGTAAAAGCTTCACACTCCTTTTTCTCTCCAGTATTAAGGACAGATGTTCAGGGTTTCTATTAAGATAGGTGAGAAAAGAAAATCTAATGTTGCCTGGCTTCCTGTGTAATGATCTTCTCTTTTGTTCCCTACCATGTAGTTGCTACCTATCTTTCAAGTTTGTGACAACTGATACTCGAGATGTCAAGAAAGTTTTGATGAATGGAGTCTACAAACTGTATTTAACTAACTAGCATGTTCATTTGGAAAATTTCCAGTGACATATTGAAGGGGAAAACAGCCCATGTGTTGTTTAGTGTTCAGAAAGAAATGAAAAGAGGTGTGCTGACTGTTTTACCTGCAGGTGGCTCCCCTATGGGAATAACCACTTTCAAGTGCCTTTTTTTTCCCCTTGAAGAGGAAGTCTGCAAGTACGAAAGGCAAAACAAATGTTGGTGCTTGCTCTTAGACCATCACATCGACCTTTATCAGAGTGGTTCTCAAACTTGTTCTTATGCATAGGTTGGAATTCACTGGAGGACATGGATCCTTCCTGTGGCTGCTTATAGGAAACAAAAGCCCAAACAACAAAATCTAAAAACTTGGAACACTGTACCATATTTTTTTTTCTTTGTTTTGTTTTCCTTGTTTGTTGTGTCTCTTGCTGCCTCTTCTCCTGATCTGCCTTTGTTGCTCAGTTTGCCCGTGCCATTTGCTTAGCTTGGCTCTCCACTCATCTTCAGCTGTGTCTGGTGGTGCACTTTTTTATCCTCCCCTTCCATCTGCTCAGCTCACTCCACACTTGCTGTCTTCCACTCAGCTCCAACCCAACCTGCTCTCCTAAAGCTGTAGAGTTCAGCACAGGAGGTATTGTCCGCCTTAGAGATGCAGTGGGTGAAGGGCAACCGGAGGGCTCGGTGGTTGTCCTTAATTGACATCTCCTTCTTTCTCCCTGGGTGTACAGCAACATCTTCGTCTTTTGGCACAACCACTTGCCCTGCTCCCCCTTTCCTGCCTGAAGCACCTTATGGCAGCAGGTCCTTGGTTCATCTCTGCCTCCTGATGAAGGGGCTGTTACTCCTGACAGCAACGGCTCCTCTTCCTCAAGGTGGCTTTTGGCAACTTCAGGAATGACAGTCATGTTAGCCACAGCTCCCGACTCTCCACATGGCTCGAGCAACCATCGATCTCCAGAAGTCCTCGGCAGTCCCCACTTCTCCTCTGTGGAGCAGTTTGAGAACCATTGGCTTGATACAGTGGTCGCTGTTAAAATCCGGAGATAGCTTTTGCAATTAGGCAGCGTTTCCCAGGCGCTGGCTGTGCCTGCCGTGCTTAGGGAATGGCACCAGCCTCCGACAACACTCAGGGCTTTACTGTGTGGAGCTCAGGTTTCAGTAATGAGCGTGGTAAAGGGGTGACTGTGTGTGGCTCTGTAGTGGCTGGAGGCAGTGCCAGTGTCTAATTGTGCCCCCGTTCACAGGGACACGGAGCTGAGGCAGCGGCGGCAGCTGTACGAGGCCGGTCTCCACTCCTCGGCGCGCTATGGCAGCCACGACAGCAGCAGCACCGGCGTGGATGGCAAGAAAAAGCCTCGAAAGTGGTTGCAGTTAGAAACGTCAGAGAGGAGGTGTCAGATCTGTCAGCACCTCTGCTATCTTTCCATGGTGGGTACAACCCCTGGCCATTCCTGGGGTACTATCCCCCTTCTCTAGCATTCCAGGGATCTATAGGCATTTGAGAGACATGGCCACAGAGCCATGTCCTGCACTCCATGCAAGACACAAAGGTGTTGATACGGCTTTTACTGCCTTGGCCAGAAGACCATAGTGGCAGCTGGCTTCCCAGCCTGCCAGAAGGGATGAACCAATGCCCTCAGACACCTGTGAGATGTTTGCACTGCACTAGGAGGGCTAACAAAGACACTTGCAGGTTGCCAGCAGCAGTAAGTTGTGGCAGACCAGGTCTCAGGATGAGCTACAGCTCAGACATGCCATGAGCCTCAGGCATGCAGCCACAGCCCGAGATGAGACAATGTCTCTGCAAGCCAAATTGCAAGGGAGATGTATCCTATCCATCAAGCTATTTGCCAGCCTGTCCAAAAATTGCCCATAAACTTTCTCTCTTTTAAGAGGGAATTGCCTACTGGCTTTTGAAGGTGTGCTGACCACTGCGGTGACGCTTCCAGGCTAAGAGCTGTATGCAGAACCCCTACAAACACAGCAACGTCATTAAAGATACCAGAAGCCCCTCCCACTACCTTATATACCACTTACTCCCCAGAACAGGTATTGAAATAAACATAATGCAGTGCATGTAAGTCCATACTTAGTCCTCTTGGTTTGGGAGTTCTTTTTCTCTGTCATCTTTTGGGGATTTTTTTGGTTATAGATATTAGGTTTTTAAGGGAAATTAAATGTAACTGCATATAATCAGATGTAGCTGTTTTCCTCCCTAGGACAGAATATGCTAAGTTTATACATGTCTTTAGATTACTTTTTAAGTAGAATTAGTTTGAAGTAACCTTAAAATAAGTTTATTTGAAAAAAACCCAAATGCTAACCAGAACCGCTTAATTCTGGTCCATTTGCTCTGGAGTAAGTTTAATCATGGGAAGGGTTTTTCCATGTCACTCTTTTACAGTAGTTGTAATAACAATTAATATAAATAATATACAGTAAAAAAAAAACCAACTTGGTTATTAAATTCCAAGCTGAGTGTACATGTCTGGCAAGCAGCCAGCTGAGCAAATATGACCTCTGCTGAACAAGACAGTAGTTGAGGATCCTGTGGCTAAGCTGATTACATCCTTCAAGACAGCATTTTAAGTAATGGGAAACTACTGCTTTCAGGAGATCTTTAGGACTACATAGGAGATGCTAATAAATGCATGTACTATGCTTTATAGTATATAAATTTATATATTAAATATAAACTATAATGATTTAACCCTCATTACTACTGGTGGGTTTTTTTCTTTTTTGTTTGTTTTTTAAAATTATATATATTTGCCAACATTAGCACTCTAAAAGAGATAGGTTCTTTCTACTTATTACACATCCTGAGTGATTTCACAATGTGCTTTACATCTCCTTCCACTACTTTGCAGTAAAATCCAGGTGTAGTAATTCAGGCCATGATTGAATACTGTGTGAAGAACATAGCTATGGTTTGGAGTTTAACTGCACTCTTTTCCCTCCACCTCTGCTCTTTTATGTAGGTTGTACAGGAGAATGAAAATGTTGTCTTCTGCTTGGAGTGTGCCCTGAGGCACGTGGAGAAGCAGAAGTCGTGCCGGGGGCTGAAGATGATGTACCGCTATGATGAGGTGAGCGTGACACCGCCTGGGGCTGGGTACCCAACATTTGTGAGGACGCTTAACTCCGCCTTTGTCCTACTGAGGCCTCAGGAAAATGGTCTTGGGTTTGGGGGTTGTTTTGGATTTGTTTTTGATGTGGGAAGAATTTGCTCTATTATGATTTAAGTTAAAAGAAAAACAGCTAAGGGAACATGATGATACAGATGAAACCTGAAGCATAAATTGCATGAGTATGTGCCACAGAATGTAAGAAGCCACTTAATGCTTTGAGATGGAACATGAGCCTTTGTTTTCACTGGTTATGTTATGGTAACTTCTGTACTTTGGAGTACCTTCCCTCTGTTGGTAACTGGAAGTTCAGCAGACTTATTCCAGTCCAGCATGAGCATCCTTTAGGACAGACTTGCAGAGCACATGCAGATGAGAGGTGCAGTAGTGGCTCCAAGCAAATGTGGTGATAAATAATCCCAGAACTCAAGATGGGGATTTAGGATTGTGCCTGGGTTCTGGGCTGAGGCTCCATGTCTTTACCTGTGAGGGGACTCTGCCCCAAAAGTAAATAGCAGAGCAGTGGGAGAAATGACATGTTAGCTCTTGGAAAGCAGCACTGGGTACAAGCAGCTTTTTAAGATGGGCTTCCCAGCATTTCTGAGCACTCCAGTGCTGTCCTGTTTAAGTGACTGAAGGAAGAACAGATGCTAACTTGTGTTTTGTTTTTCCTGCTTCCTGAACAGGAACAAATAATCAGTCTTGTCAATCAAATCTGTGGAAAAGTATCTGGTAAAAATGGCAGCATTGAGAACTGTATCAGCAAGCCTACACCAAAAAGAGGACCTCGTAAGAGAGCGACAGTGGACGTGCCATCATCTAGGCTTTCATCCTCCAGTTCATCCAAAAGTGCTTCAAGTTAATCCTGAAGATGCCAACACTCTCATTTTGTCAATTTATATATATTTTTTGTAATTATTATACCATAGTTTGGAGTACTTGCTGTAGAATACAAGCTGTCTTTGCACTAGCTCTAAAGAAGATTTTCTTCTGGTTTTAGAGAACTAATTTTGTTTTAGCATTAAACTGTTGGAATTTTTTTTTTTTTTGTACTTAGAATAGATAGATACAGCAGTCTGATTTTTTTAAACTGCCGTATGTTCACTGTTTTAAAACCGGCAAGGGGCTGATAAAATATTAATTTGTATTGTCCCTATGGCTGAAAAAATAAAAAAGCCTTTTTGGTAACTGTGATAAAAAGGCTTTTAACCCATTTTTTGAATAGGTTAAAGTTTGATGTGTTTTATAATTTGTTCTCCAGTCATGTGAGCAGATTTTTCTAGAGAGAAAAGGGATAGGAGACAAAAACTTGAAAGAAATTGCTTTACTTTGGCTGTCTTTTATTCTGTCACAGCAAGATAAGTTTTGTAATTTTTTAAATTGGAGAATACACACTTTCTTTGGGAGGTTATGGCAGCTGAAGATGGACTTTGTTTCCTAACTGTAGGCAAAAGGAGGAGATTTGGAGTATGTTCTCTTTTACCAGCACATCACTATGCATCTGTTTTGAGGGGGAAAAATGAAAACTTTAAAAAAACTTAAAAAAAAAAAAAAAAACTTTAAAAAAAGAAAAAAAAAAGAGGAAAAAAGACTGCCTGCACTGAGGAGTTATGTGAGGGAAAACTGTGCCTGATTTCATTAGGAAATCCATTCTGTTATTTTTTGGTGCTGTTGGCTACTTTATCAAAAACCCTTCAATAGCATCCTTTAAAAAAAAAAAAAAAAGACAAAAAAAGAAAAAAGTGATTGAAGCCATAAGTGCTTCTTTTGTCATAGACGTGCAATCTTTCTAACATTCCATTTCCATTCCACTGCTGTTTTTCACACCTTTACACAGTCAAGCATTAATTTTTGTTTTGAATTTGTTTCATTATATGATCACATTTAGAGCCACTAGCAAGTCTGCATATTTCTTTTGAATGTGAAAATGCATTTGCTTTCATCTTGTCTGTTTTTTCTCTTCATGTTGTAACAAAAAAAAATCACACCTTTTGTACATATGCCTGTAAATTTTTTTAAATACTTGAGCCTTTTCTTGGGGTGGGGGGAGGGATGGCAAAGAGACAAGATGAAGAAAAGCCTTACGTTTCACTTTCTTCATCGGTTGGATTGGATGCTTACAGGGTTTTTCTTGTAACATTTATAAGTGCTGCTTACATCACTGAACAACAACAAAAAATAATAATGGAGTAGCTGTTGCCCTTTTCTGGTTGTGTGTACAGTATGTGTGGAATAAAAAAGGGAAAATGTTTTCACAAACTGTTTTGTTTCGTAATTGAATTCAACAATACCGTAGCTACCCATATTGCACTGAGCTTGCCAGTGGTGACTGTCAGGAAAGTCCTATAATACAATTTGTTGGTTGTTGTTGCAGAAGACTGAACTGTTTTGGAATATTTAACAATAACATAAACAGAGTCAAGTGTTTTCAAATGTGGTTGTCTGGTTTTTATGGCCTTGCTGTGTACTTTTCCCTCTTGACAGTAAACTTCTGACTATGGCTTACAGTTTGACATTTAATTTATTAGCGCTGCTCTGCTCTCTTTCCTTGTAAGGGAAGACTTCATGTTGTTTATTGCCAGTTTTTTGTTTACTTTCCAGGTTTGTACTACGAGGTTTAATAAAAAAAAACAAAACTTTTTTGGACATTTTGTCTGTCTTCTGGAAAGCAAGAGAGTAAAGAAAGCTCCTTCAAGATAAATTTCTTTCAACAGCTGCCTTGTTGAATAGTAAATCTCTAATTGTAGGTAGGGAGCTTCCAGCTTTCATTTCCCAGACAGGGGTCAGGGAACACTTTATCAGCTAACAGGAGAATCCTTAAGGAAACTGGCCCACTGCCCAGCTGGCAAGCAGCAAGGAGATACCTCTTTCCCAGCCTTTGGCTTTGTCAGGGCTGGTCTTTGGAATAAATCTACATCACAGCTCATCCTTTTACTTACGCTATTTCTGATTACATTCCTTCCCTCTGTGCAGAAAGAGCAGGAGCCAGGAGCCTTCTCAAAGGAGAGCAGATCCCTGAAAATAGAGCATGAGACTTGACAAGCAACAGGCGTTAGACATGGTCAGACCTCGAGTTCAGAGAAATGACTGCAGAAAAAAACAGGAATGAGATGATGCCTACAGGTCCTGAGGTTTCTAAAATACACGCACTTAATTAATTATTAGGTTTATCTCCCTAGTGTAGTCAGATGTTATCATGGAAAAGCACATTACATTGGTGCTTCTAATAACCATTCTTTTTTCCTGAGTTAGGGGCTCCTCTGTTCACTCTGTCATGGATAAAATACCTGGGTAATCAAGTAAAAGACATGGTTGGGATAGAAATTCTTTATTTTATCATCTTGTAAGAGGAGTAAGTACACAATGCTAAGATACCTGCTCCACAAGGAGTGCAACATTTCCATATGCCTCTCTCCTCCTTCTCGGGTTCTTATTTTTTCCTTAACACCTATAACTAAGTTGGTCCTGAATAAGAAGTGTGAGAACAGTAGACACTGCTGCATTAGTAGACAAAGGCAGGAGGCAGACAGTAGGTAGTAAAGAGTAGAAAATAACTTTTCATTTTGGTTTGAATCCTAAATCTTCAGTTGCAGCAGCTGAAAACATGCAAGGAACAATTTGGGTTCAGTATTACACATCAACTCTTAAGTACTTCCAATCAGCCATTTAAAGGTTAGTGGTCAAAGTAACTTCTACCTTTCCCCTTAAATTCTCTTATACATAGTATATACAACAGTTTTACTGCTCCCCTGAGCCCCAAGACTACTGTTAAAGTGTGTGTGCTTTAGGCGTAATTTTTTTCTTTAAAAACCAACCTCCACATGACTGGCAATTTTGTAAAAAGGCAGTATTACTAAGTAAAAAGATCTGGCTGTTATGCTTGGTTAGCAAATTGTTACACAGGCAAGCTCTTCATTCACTTGTTCATTCATTCAGAAGTCATTCTTAAAGGATATGGTTTTAAGATTCAAATAGTTTGAGAGTCACTTTCATCACTGCCATCTGAAGCACCCTTTCTCTCAGTTACAGCAGCAAGGGCAGTGTCCACTTGAACCTCCTCTTCATCAGACTGAACCACAGGGGACTCTCCTTCGCTCGCGTCCTGGCTGGCAGAGTCGGTGCAGGTCGAGGACAGGGAACAGAGTTTCTGCCGTAACTCAGACTGGCTCGGCACCTGGAGACTGATCTCATTCACGTAGGTGTTGGAGTCGGGCCCTGAGAGGTGGGAAAACAACAACAGTCAAGCTCTGGCTCAGCAAGGGGATTGAGAAGTCAATAGATTATCAGCTCAGCGCTGGTTAAGGAGTCACTTTCAGGTTGCTTTCCCTCTTTTGCAAGGCATCAAGAGGAAAAGCCCCCCCAGTAAACTCAATGCAACAGAGCTACACAGATTGGAAATCTGAAGCCAAACAAACAACGAGGAAGCAGGAAATGACATAATCAGTTTTAATGAAGATGCAAAAGCAAAGCAAATACAATTCAGCATGAAAGCAGTCCTTCGGTACAGCTATACCACAGCTCAAGTGCACAGGAGAGGGATTTTAAGATTCTGCATCCTCCATATCCTGTGCAAAAAAGACTTGTAAGGAAGTTCAGTGTAACACTGTTTGCTTGCAGTTTGAGTTCAGGTTTCAAAATTAGATTTTCTTCCCTGAATGGCTGCTGACAGCAAAAAAGTTAAAATGAGGAAACATCTAAACTTTCAATGTGATCTGCCAAAGAAAACCCTTTTTTCCTTCTCTCCTTTACCTAAAAAAGTGTTTCTCCATAGTCGGAGCACCCAGCTTCATCTGGTAACTTTAGTGAGAAAATTCTCTTTAAAAATTCACTAAGAAGTTTTTTAGAAGGGTCAGAGGGATATGAGCACACCTTACCTCTGCTCAACTGTTTGCAAAGCAGTTCAAACCACGTTATCTATGCCTGCTCCTCGAATACCTGAGTTATATTTTAACACTAGAAATTTTGGAAAACCTGCCTTACATGGTATACACCAGCACACATCAGATCAATTGACTCAACACAGAGGAGTTTTCAGGAGTGATAGAGCTTACTCAATTTTGCAGTTTAACTCACTGTCATGAAATGTTGGAAAGCCAATGTCCACAAGCTGGCAATGTTTATAGCAAGGCAAATTTGAAAATATTTCAATGTCTTGAGCTGATTCTCATTTTTACTAGTTATTTTAATAACTTACCTGTATTTTGTGGTGTTCAGCCCAATTGTCAAACAAACCTTGCCTTGTCAACCCTTTGCTTTGACAGCAAAATGAAGAGTTACCTTTTAAGTCATCTCATTTTTCTAAGAATAAAGATTATTGCATATTTGGGTTGATGCTGGGGTGCCAGGTTCTTAAAGCAAGTACAAAAATCCCTTAATCAGAGGGAAATAAAATGTTGGGAACCACAAGAGCAAGATTCATGAGACTTACAGTGCAGTAAGGTTGCAGTGCTGGAACATTATTAAAGCACAGATACATTATATTGCAGTATGTCCACATATAGACACTGTACATATATGCTGCAATATTTAGATTACAGTATAAAACAAAGAATGTATTTTTTTCAAAAGCTAATGCATTTATCTACTTGGTTAAAAAAGTAGTTTCTACACTTCCTTAGATAATCCAGCTGACATTGTTTGCTATTAAGACATGAAGCTTCTTGGTCCAACATCTTTGCCAAACAGCCAGCAAGGGGAAAACAGTCTAGATTCTGCAATTACTGGCAAGCTCAAATGATGATCAGCTTTAATAATGCACAAAGTGGATGCATATGCAAAACCACCCATCTCAATTCAGTTTTTGCAATGAAACACAAAAATCTAAACTTCTAGTAGTCAAATGTGCCTTGACCATTTACCACAAGCTTTTCATGTTCACAGCAGGTGTTAATCACCTTTACACAGGGAGTACTATAAGTTCTTCCATAAAAATATTTCAATCTGTATTTTCAGAAGAAATCAAAAGGACCTTTAAAGGAACTTCATCATCTCCTGCAAGAAAAATAATTTTGGCTCTTTTGAGGAAAGGCATTTTAGCACTTAAGTTTTTAACTAGGAAAACACTTCCATGGCAGATGAAAGATCCAGTATTGAGATACTAATTCTCAGTGTATATGTAAACTGCTGGGTTGAACCTTGTCTCTCAGTATCTCTCACCGAAGATCTTGCATTATACAACTGGTCCAAATTTGAAAAGCAACGTTCTGGACAAATTCTAAGCAATCAGTATGGAAAATAAAAGCCTAATTACTGCAAGATTTCTGTTGATGTTTGCCAAAACATCCTCTATTAACTCTATATTGGGAAAAACACCCCTCAAGCCAGTATGTAACACAACACCCAGTCAGACTGTGATAAACACAACAGGGAGCTGCAGTAAGAAAAATGAGATTGTCTGGAAATACCACATAGTTTTGCAGCAGCTCCCTTGTACAGCAACTAAATGTTAATGTTCTGAGAAGCACTAAGGAAGAACAGTCACTCTGCACCAAGTGTGATGTTTCATGGGATAGCATCACCCATTACAAATGAGAGCAGTTCAGGTGGTTTATCACTGTCTCTAAGCAGGCTGTCACTACAAGTACCATACCCAGCATGGGAGACAGCACATTATTGTCTTCGCTTCCTGAGTTTAAAAAGACGTCGAGTGCTTCCTGGTCAGACATGTCCATTAGGTCCATCTGCTCCAGCATGTCCACATTCACCTCCATGGAAGACATACTTCC